AAGTTGCTCAGATGACTGAAACAGACTCAGAGAACACGTATGGTAAAGGATTACAACACGGCTCAGTTATGGTGAACTACAGACTACTGTGCCAGTTCTATTGGAAACATCCATAACCAAATGTCATGAGCCAAAACTACGGCAGACACTGAGCGGAAGATCATTAATATTACTGTAACTCAGTGCTTACTCACTCTGAAAATATTTGTATTAGCAAAAATGTATATATTAATTAAATAAAAATCTAACTGCATTCTGGCTTAATCATAGAAAAAGAGAATAGTTTTATCAGCTGTAACATCTCATATGTTGCCAGCAAACAGACTTTGACAATTCAGTCTGTCACCACTGTATTTTAAAGACAAAATAAGAAGAAGGTCCATGAGTCAAACATGGTGCACGAGAGGAGCTAGGGCTTCAATTGTCCTCTGTTCTTTTGCTCTGCTCTTCTTACAGAACAAGCAACAATTGCTACTGTTGTATATGCTTCCATTTGAATGATGATTCAAGATGTTAGCATGTGTCAGGAGCAGCACAAATGTTAACACTGCTTTTCAAACTTTTCTTTTTTGCCATTTAAGGGTCATGGCTTTTGCAGAACTTGTTCAGAGCCCTTTATGTCACAGCAATAAAACTGCTTTGGTCTGCTGGTCACTGGGGAAATCAAGTCAAACTTCAACAGGCCCCAGTTCAGACTCATTCCCCTAATAAGGTAGCCTGAAACCAGTCATAGGCTGGAATTGTTCCTCAGTGTCCTGTACCCATGAAAGAGATGGAATGTTAATGAAAACTGCCTGCCACTCTGTGTGATTACAATGTTTTTCACATCAGTTCTTAATTAATCTGACAATACTGTCAACACTGTTAACAAGACAAAATACTGTATGCCTGAAAAAATAGTCAATTCCCAATATTAAACAAACCAGTATTTCACTAAATGGCACTATATCAAAACTGATATTCACTGTAGAGCAAGAGGAGGGAAGAATGTATATCTATATGTGAAGTAAACCTGTTTTTAGCAAGACTACACAGCAATAGAGCCACAAGACAAAAGCCAACCAAGACAAAATGTGGACTATATACAGTACTAAATTTTAAATTGTGAGAGTTCTCACGACATTCTCATACAGTAAGAAGAATCTCATTAACAAGAAGGAAAAGAAAAACTAGCTGAGAGGCGGCTCTGGAGTCTCGTTAAGTCACAAAAAGTAATTACAGTACCTGTGTAGGAGGATCAGAATGATTAAAGCTGGGAGCATATATGAATGCAGACACACACTAACAAGACACTGAAAAGCAGGTGAATAATTTACTCTTAAGTAGCTATAGAGAAAATTAACCAGTCAAAGAACCAGGAAAATGTTACAGTTATTAAAGTATAAAAGTTAGGGCACATTTTAATATTCAAGATGTTGGTTTCATCTGCAAAGAACTCTCAAAATTAAAAGTAAATTTGTCATTGCCATATTGATATTTTGGTGAAAATAGCACAGAAATATATTAAAACTGCTGTATTAGTAGCACAACCAAAACACAAGCATTGGATATGTAATATGTGATAAATTCACAATTACAGGACTCTTAATATAGCTACAGCAAGAAAAGCTTAATACAGTCTGGACAATTTTGTTTGGTTTTTCTTGGACAGACCAGCAGTTTGAATAACTAAAACAAAAATATTTTATTACTGTAAAGCATGTTTAAATGTGAAGCAGAGGCTGTAATCACTGGGGCTCTTCAAAAGACAGAAAAAGCAATATCCCAGTTTGAATGCTAACTGATAATTTGAAGCGAAAACGGTCTAATCATCACTTCTGGACCGTTTTGGATATGTTCCCAGGAGGAAAAGCTTTTATGATGTTTCTCAGCAGAAAGAACAAGAAGCTTGTAGTAAACAACATGCAAAATTAACACCTAACCTACAGATAGCATTAAAAAACTGCACTGTATGCTGAGCACTTTATAGGCACATCTGTACAGTTATTATCTCAATAATAAACATAAAACTGAATCCATAAATTCTTAGAGGTAGATGTTATTGCAGGGCTGTTGTACTGCAGTCAATCAGTTGTACAGGTGATAAGTGCATGATGAGTATAAACAGTACAGGTATATACATAATATATAGACTATATATGAGGTGTTTATCAATTCAACTGCTAAAAAAGCATAAACATGCAGAGATGCGATAATTTCAGCTCTGACCACAGTCTGCCATCCACTGCAGCTATGTGTCAACTGCAAGCTTGTTAGGCTAATAGCTAATACAGTTGCTTTAGATGTGGCTGTGTCACGGTGATGAGGCAGTGTGGTCCTGTGGGGCATTGTCTCACTCACGTCCATCTCCCTCCACTATATAGGGTCAGTTCAGACCCACTCTGTCCACCTGCTCACCCTTCACATGCTTGTATCACCATTACACGCTGAGTGTAATGGTGATACAGTGGGCTGCTGCTGCCTTAATTTGATAACACGATTTTTAAAAAGCAAAGCGCAGCTAAAAACACAGAGCAAAGTTAAAATGAGAAATCTTCAAATTGTTGTACAGGCAACAGAGAGCAGGATACTTGTTAATGTGTTAGTGTGCTACGTTTTATGGTCATTTTGATACTGGAGCTAATTTGTTGATACAGTTTTTGTTCACAAACTACAGCAATACAATCTTCACAGAATCTGTAATTGAATTGGGTAAATTACAATTAGACTATGTCAATAAAAATGAAAGAAATGTTAATTATTTTGTGCACTTATTTCATGCATTCTTCTACAAATGATCAGTTAATTTAACCTCTATTTACTACAGGATTCTTTAAAAAGTGTGTGCTTCTCTTTAGTGTTCCACATTGTTGATTTCATTTTAAAACTAATTTAAAAATGCAGTTTTTTCCTTATTGACACCACCAAACAAAACAAAACAAAAACAAAGGTATGAACTAAACTGAGAGATTGATTCTAGCTACATTATCATCTCCCTATCTACTATATATAACAAGTACTCTATTTGTTTCTGATGCAGCAAACAAGCCAAACAAACTCCTAAAAGTAGTACTGCTACCAGTGGAGCACACAATATTCTCAATGTACAGTATACACCCCTCACTGCACATTAGGGCAAAGAATTATAGGATAGATAATATGGTATCTCACAGGAGAATCATCTGCAATACATCACAATACCAGTGCAACTGAAGAGGAAAATATATTATTAAAAAGGCAAACGAATAAGCACTATAACTACTGACTGTGTTATGATTTTTTTTTTACTTTTTAAAAATTAGTCAGCTGAAGTGAAAGCATACCAATGTGCAAAAACTCACGTACACAACACCTATCAGTGCCAAACAGCCTGTCACAAAATTGCAACCTAACCTTTGTTGTATGTGCAAAGGATAACTACTGCAAAAACAAACAACTTGCGATTGCCGTATGCATTTCATTAAACAAATGAGTTTATTTCTAGTCGTTAAATCAAAGCTGCACACAATTTGCCTAGAAACATGTTACCATGGCCATGGAGGAGGAGGAGAACCAAGTTCTATAAAAGTTGCTCCCACTTGCTCCGACCTTTTGCCATTACTAAAGAAGTCATGAGATACATTTTATTGTAAGTGTAATGTGTTGAGTAGCACTTTTAGAGAAGAGAAAGAGCTGGCAAGAAAAAGAAGCTGCGCACATATCAGCCTATTATTAGCAAGCCTATGCCCAGGCTGTTTTGGCCAAGTAAATGCTGCACTATTGTCTTGATACAATGGTTATTACAGCCCTAAATAGACAGAATGCACTGTATAACACTATGCCAAGAGCAGAATGTAACGGACATGTAATGGAAACCATCATGTCAGTAAAGAGTGAAGAGGGTTAGTGTTTGATCTAGATAATGATCTAAAATGGCCTAGTAATGGCAGCATGGGGAACTGCAGCTTCTCAAGACAGCTCGCTGACTCTTGACTTTCAAAGCTTCTCTGTTTTCTTCCTATTGCTTGCTATGTAAGTGGTGGAATAACACTTAAATGACAAGGAATAATGGCTGTAGTCAGACAGATCATAAGAGAACTAAAGCTATATTCACAAAGGGAGAAAACTAAACTCAGTATACTGGTTAACTGGAGTTGCACCTACAGTACTTGTCTAACAGATGCTAAAAGGGATTTTTAAGATTATGCATTTCACTCAGATTAGTTTTATTATAAGGTGCTTTCCATGACCTGTATGTTTTATCCCAAGCTTGCATCTCTTTTAGAAAACAGTGCAAAAATAAAA